GGACCGATAGAGATAAAGCTAACACCAACGTCTCACAAGCATCGAGCATTTTAGGAAGCTCCACGTTGCATACACCAACAAAAGAGGTACACTTTGAATTTACGCAAACATTTCCTCTCTCACGCTCTCCGACAACGAGAAATAAATTCGCTGGAAGTTTTAAACGCATTACATCATCTTCGTGTACGACATGCGGGGGTCTATCCTGCCGATCGACTGCCGAGGGTGGACGAGGTCGACCGCCATTGTCGCTAACATGGACGATCACGATCGACCCGGGCAACACTGGGTCGCCTTCTACATCGATGAACGCGGGACAGGAACGTATTTCGATAGCTACGGCTTGCCGCCCTTGGATCCAAGATTCCTCTTACGACTTCGACGAAACTCCACCACGTATCGCTGGAATACGACAACGCTGCAAGAAATACTTTCTCAAACTTGCGGACAATACTGCTATGTATTTCTATATTATTTGTATAATGGCTATAATCTTAATCAGTTTCTTGATCTGTTTACCTCTGATTGTAAGCGAAATGATTGTTTGATTGTACAGTTATTTCATAAAATTTTTCTAAATTGTAAACATAAACTCGTAAATTCTCAGGCTGTATGCCGTCATGTTCAAACGTGTACTCTTTTAAAAAAATAAAATAACTATTTCATGTAATATCTTTTTTAAATAAACGTTTTTAAACTTGTAAATATTGCCTTGTTTCTTACTCTTACCCCTTCACCCTCATTTACAATAGATACATTTTCCCCCGTATTACAGACTCAGATAATGTATAATACAATACATTAAATACACAAAATATAGAAAGAATTTTTTAAAGCAATGCTCGAAGATAACGCGCCGCAACAGCTAAACATGTTCGTTCTTGTTTTACCTCCCCAAAATTCTTCCGAACAAAGCAAGTCTCTCTCTAAGCCCGCAAATTTTCGTATAAGATCTCCTTTCTCATACATTAATAACATTCACTGAATCGCCTACACGTCGATGACGTTGCCCCGTGACAACAAAAGCGACCATCATAAAATTCGACCACTATTCATCCCCCGCTGTTCGTACTCTAGCCTCGCGACAAAAAAATGTTGCAGTCCCAATCTCCACTCACCATTTTTTAAACCTCCATTTTGTCTAAGGCCCTCTACCACCTACCCTCTCCAATCACCTTTTGGGTAGGTATAGGGCGAACCAATCAGAACATACCATTTAATGACCTATTACCCCCTCCCTTCACTCCTCGACCAATCAGAACGCGCCCTTTCTCCAGACTGACCCGTCTTGGCCACGCCCACTGCGCCGGAGGGAGACGTGAAGGGGGTTTGTTTTGACGCCCCATGGCTGCCCATATATAGTACTACTGATAGAAATTCATAACTTTTTTATCTGTCGTGATTTTAATGTTTGATAGGTACTATAGGTCCTGATAAAAATTATATAAAATTTATATCAGATTTCTATAAATTTCTATCATTTTTTAAGCAGGGATCTTAAGATCATATTTAAGACGGTCTTGAATGGTTGCGTTCGGAAACGTCGCTCCCTAAAAAAATGTTTCTAAAATATTTCTTAAAAATTTTTTTTTGCAAAAAACATTTTAAAAACGTTTAATTAATGGGATAAATTTTTTTTATTAATTAAAAAGACATTTTTGTTATATTTAAAAAAACGTTTTTTAATGTTAAAATTATTTAAATAAAATTAGAAAAAATAATAATGTAGAATTGTTCTTTTAATTAATTTTTTTATTAACAGTGCTTACGAGTAAACCTTAGACAACTAATTTTATTAATTATTTCTAATTATATTTTAATATTTTTTACTTACCGAGTACAGTTTTGTACCTGGGATCTCTGGATTATAAGTCTCGTACCTTATCCGTTACACCACTTATAACTATCAATGCCCACAGTTCTTATTATCCATATATGGTACATTTAACGCAATTATATTGTATTAACTTTTCTTCCGTCATTATTTCATTATTCCTATCCGTTTTTTATTAATTTGAGTTTTAGAAAATAATAACATTTTTACATATTCATGATAAACGTTAGATAAACGTTAAATAAACGTTTTTTTAAATAAATAAAAATTTTTAATAAATTAATAAGAAAAAATAAACGTTATATAAATGTTTAAAAAATATTGTTTTCAAATCGACTAATAAAATATAAAATTAATTACAAATAAACGTTGAATAAACGTTTAAAAAATGTTTTTTCAAACCATGAATGTTTGAGATCATAAATTCATTAAAAAAATGATAATTCTTGTCGTTTAACCAACATCAATTGTCAGTGGACGTGTGCTTAAAAGTCGGTAAATTCATCTCGAGTACAATCTCAATTCTCACAAAAGTCATTAATTTGTCGTTTTTTGGTAATAAATTAATTCGTTTATACACACACAGACAACGACAACGGACCATCAACAAGGTTCGAGAACAATTTAATCCCGCGCGCGAGCGCAGCGCTCCGACGAACACGTCACGCACGACACCACGCGCGGATTTTCTGTCGCGCATGACTGTCGAAAGTCGAGGGAAAAGAATTCGAGGCGCCAATCATTATTATACAACGAATGCCACGTAAAAATTACAATTGTGACAAATTTTTATTGGGCATTGTTAAGAGGAGATCGCGGGCCACGAAGGCAATATATGCGCCGATCGTCGCCGCTCTCCCTCTCTTAATGCTCAGAGTCTCGCTATAGTATCGTTTAGAAAACCACCGTGAAAAAACCGCCACGTAGAACCGCCGTAAAGAAAACCTCCTTCGAGAACCGCCGAGAAACCGTCGCGATTTTCTATTGCCATCGGGTACGATAACATCGGTGCGATAATTTGTAAGAGAAAGATTGTGTGTAATCCTTTGCGATAATTTTCGTCAATTTGTGCTGAATTTATTGTTGCAAGAAATAAAGTAAATCTTTTGTTAATCTACAAAGGATTGTAGTTCTTCTAACTTTTGTGCGTTATACCAGCCGTGTGTGCCGTCCTCTCGCTTCATTCTTTCGCGCGATGCACTCGCGCACAATTATTTCAAATAAATAATTAAGTAAACATTAATAAACATTAAATAACCGTTAAAAAAATGTTTTAAAATAAATTATTTTAAATAAAAATAAAAATTCAAAATAAACATTAAATAAATGTTAAATAAACGTTTACACAATGTTTTTTTAATCATCTATTTCAAATGAAAAATTATAATGTAAAATAAACATTTAATAAACGTTAAATAAACATTAAAATAATTTGTTAAACGGATATAAATTAATGAATTTTGAAAATAAATCATGAAATATGTAAAATTAATGAGAAATAAACGTTTAAAACATTTAAAAAACGTTGTCTGTTATTTAGGTCAGAGCGACGTTTTCGAACGCAGCCAATATAAGAACTGGAATTGTGAATCCCAAGACTACTAACTAAGACAACTATACTATAAGTAACTACAGTTATTTATTTTATAGAATCAAATGATGTAGGTAAGTAGAATGTATAACAACACTTGAGTCGTAGAAGATGTTGTATCGAGAAAAACATGAAGAAAAGTCAAGAAATTAATGAAAAGTGGTCTGTTTTGCATAAGGCGTGAAGATCGATCTATGTCAGAACGCATATGAAATACGAGTTATATTGAGAAAATGAGAAGATACGGTTCAAGTTACATGAAATTAAAGAAGAGGTTATATAGCGCAATATATTTTCTTCTCAAGAATTTTATAGCATGACTTAACAGGAATCGTCTTAATTTTCAATTTTGTTTCTTGCTCATTTATTCATCTAGCTATTATTTAATTTTTCATATAATTTTCATTTAATTTTCATGTAATTTATGAGAAGTAAATATTGAGTTATATAAACTCTTTTTTTAATTTCATGTGTCTTAAACCGTTTTTCTTGCTTTCTCGATATAAACCGTACTTGGTGTACGTTCCGACATAGATCGGTCTTCACGCCTCACGCAAAATAGACCGCTTTTCATTCATTTCTTGATATAAACCTTTCTTCATGTTTTTTTCGATATAGCACCTTCTACGGTTCAAGCGTCGATTAAAGTCTCATTCTTTTTTTATTTCTTATAATATTTATGCTTCTTATTCGATTTTCTCCTAAAAGTGTGTATTACTCTAAGAAGGGAATTATATTAGGAAATATGACACTAAAAATTAGAAAATTCTAATATATATATATAGTTTACACACACACACACACACACACACA